CTTACGTAAATAACAACCGGGCTGCCCCTGCCAAGTTTATGGCGACACTTGTCCTCCGGGGCATCGTCACTGTGCTGCCAGGTTTACACACTTCTCTCTTTCCACGTGTGTTACAGGTAGGAAAATGACTCGCCTGGCACAGGAGCAGGAGTTATGAGCCATGTCCCTGTGAGACCTGTGGAATTAAGAGCAAATGCCTGGAGAAGTCCAGTTGCACAGAGCAGCACCGCAGCTCTAGTGAACCGTGGGCATCGACGCCTCTCAGACTTGCTCCTCTGGCCACGAGCACTCTGCCAGCGTTTCCTACCCCACGAATGGCTACTCAGAGGAAGCACTTGGTGAAAGATTTCAATCCTCATATCACCTGCTATATCTGTAAAGGCTATCTCATCAAGCCAACTACAGTAACTGAGTGCCTCCATACCTGTAAGTAGTACTTTGCAAAATATTCCTTCCTTCCTAAGTGATGCTTCCTTGAAGTGTTGATGTGTTTATTATGATCTCTGCTGGTTTTTGTTTACTTCTGAAGTGTTGCGTACAATGCTGTGCAGTTTCTGATGGGGTTTCCTAGACATTGATCTGCCATCTGGGTCATCTTGAGGGCATGTTGATTCTGCTTAACACCTTGCAGAGTAAGACACCCCTTTTCTTTCCCCCAAGCTAGTGGTGATTGTGCCGACTCTAGCACCAAACATGTGTCACTGTGGCCTGGCTGTTCACAAGTAAGATTGTTAGGTCAGGTGTGGTATTTTGATAATACAACTATGCTTTTGAAACTTAAGCCAGTGTATATGTTGGCAGTGTACCTGATGGATACACCAGTTTGGTCAGTACTGGCTCGCATCTCTCTGTAATGTGTTCCATGGCACAATGCATAGAAATACTCCAAAGCTGGCAAAATATTTATTTAGGGAGTAGATCTCTTTGAATGAAACTGACTCAGGAAAAATTATTCAGGTTGTCTTATGCTCCTAATATTTCTAAAACATTGGTGTGTATGTATTATATTAAACATATGAATTGTCCTATCAAACTCAGTCATCTTACTTCCACAGGCTAAATTACTTACACGCTTGATTTTTTTTTTACATTTATTCCTGAATAGAAGATAGTTTGCTTGAACTTTCTTGAGAATTTGACATCTTTTCAAATAAAATTTGAATTCTTCTAAAGGAAGAGGAGGGGGAACTATATGTTTTCTGATAGATTTCCCATTTTTAAACCTTTAATAAATATTAGTTAAAAGCTTTGTCTTAGCATTTCCTGTTGCTTCTGTGCAGTGTTGTTCTTGCAGTTGTTATTGTCTTCACTGTTAATTTTTACATTATGATGTTACGTCCCTGGTATATCAAGCACATAGAGAATGAAAACATATCATTCCTATAAGTTGTTCATAATACAAAGATAATATTGTTTGCCATTATAATAATATTATTTTTAGGTTTTGAGCAAAAATAATGTTGAACTGACTTTTTCCAATCATATCAGCTAAGGATTATAATGTGTTTTGTGGGACTATTCTTCTGGTTTGGGTTACTTGGTAAAGGAATTTAAGTTCAGGAGGAGAGAAGTTAAGCAATGTGTCCTTATAAGAACTTGAAATTAAACAGGAGGAAGAAAGGTGTATTAGCTATTATTAAATTATCTTTCCCTTTAAAGAAAATGGAAAAAATCCAGCATTAGTTAAGTTTTTTATGGTTGAAGTTTAATGAACGGTAGTAGCTTTTAAAAGGTTGGAGTGAGGGGAAGAAAGTTGCATCAGAAATCAACTTGGAGAAAAAAAGGATGTTTTTATTATGGTATCTTTCTGTTTAGATATTTATTGGTTTATTTATTTTCACTTCTGTTACAAAACAATAATGGCAGGAGAAGTGTTTTTTTCTCAGAAGCATCTGTTTCTTTTGTTCTCTTGTAGATTGTGAGCTATTCACTAAGACAGCTCTGTTACTGCCTAGTCCCCAGATTAGCGCACGTGAATTTTACTGACCTGCCATGTAGTTGCACAAGTCTCCTCACAGAAAAGCTGCCACGTGTTTGGGTCATTAAGTAGAACTGCAGGAAAGTTGGTTTCTTTAAAGCAAAGTTTAGTTGCTAAAATACAAAGCTTACAATGATGGAAAGGAAAATGAAAAACTTCAAGTGGTGATATGGAAGTCTTCCGTCCATGAGGAAAAGGTGATCTGTATGTGGCAGAACTCAGGAAGATACTCTGATAAATTATTTTACGCTTTGGCTTTCAGAAAATATTTAATTTTTTTGTTTGTTTTTTTGAAGTACAAGTATGGTTCTTCAGTCATATCCAGATAGTTACTACAAATTTCAATGATTTTAACTGTCCTTTGGTATTTGTCTTGTACTACTAATTGCCGTAATTCAAAACAGTGTTGCACAAATGAACAAAATCTGCAGATATTAACGGTTAAGAAGCAGCAATAATTCATTAGATACTGGGAGTACAATATATTACCCTGGACAAGATGAAAAGCATGTATTGACATAGATGTTCTCCAGTGATCGTAGAGGAACTAATGTGATCAGTAGTAACCAAATCAGTTAGCAGTTAATTCACATCTTCTGTGTTGCTAAAAAATGTTAAGAGAAATGTGTGCCTTTTTAAGAAGAGATATTTCTGATGGAGTTTTTGGAAATATTGGACAGACAACTGCACCATTTACTGGGAAGAATAAGTGCAACTTGGGCATCAGCAGTACAAACTTGCCTCTCTCTGTTGGGAAGGAAATGCTTATATTACTGCAAAATAATTATTCTGAAAATTCAGTACTTTGTTTCTTTTTTGCTACTTGCAAAAGAATAGTTTTGTCTTATGGACTAAGACCTTTTTTCTACTCTGTTACACAGTTGTCAAGGTGTTTAAGAACTACTGGTTGAAGCAGGCTAGATGTGAGCTAAAGGGTATGTCCCATCCTCTGTCTCCTGAGTCACTCCATTGCTTAGTACAGCGTGCGCTTACAAAACTTGGAAAATAAACTTTCCTCAGGGACATTCTTTAGTGCCCTAAAAAATATCAGAATGTTATTCTGTATATCCAACAGTCATGGAAATGTTGGTTGGAAGGGAGATCTGGAGGTTGTCTAGGCCAACTTCATGCATGAGGCAGGTTAGTTGCCAACACTATAGCAGGTCAAGCCTTGGCTCTCTATAGTTTAGTTGTGACTTTCCAAGCGTGGAGACTCCACAGCCTCTCTCAATAATCATTTCCAGTGCCAGGCTATTTACTTAGTGAAGAGGTTTTTCTGAATGTCCTACCAAACAACAGCTTGTGACCATTGCTCCTTGTGATACTGTTTTCCACTACCAAGAAGAGCTGGGCTCCATCCTTCCTCTACTTGCTATTCAAGTGGTATAGACTGTTATTAGAACACCTACTACCATCAACCATTATTTGCTTTTGGTAAATTGGTATTGCCTATTCCTGATTATGTTTTTGTCCCTCACATAGTTGAGATTCCAAGGGACATGACATGATCTGCCATCTTTCCACGAAGCTAGTGGAGACCGTTTAGCTATAGTTACCTGGGTCATTCTTCCCATCTTTCTTAAACGTGGGCATAACACACTACCCTTTTCCACTCATCAGGCACTTCCTGTAATCACCATGATTATGGTGATAAGCTTTCAGCTTTGTGAATCATACCTGGCCTATAGCTTTGAATACGTCCAGCTTTTCTCAGTAGGCCCTAACTTGCTCCTCCCTGGCTGCTGGTCATCCCTCTCCTTCCCAAATCATGCTGGTATGCATGGAGATCTGGGATCAGGCTCTGCGTGTGAAGACCAAGGCGAAAAAGACATTGATGATTTCAAACCTTTCTATATAATTTGTTCCTAAATTGTTTCCCTCATTCATTAACACACCCACATTTTGTCTGACCTTCCTTCAGCTACTAGCAGAATCCCCTTATGTCCCTCATCAGTTTTAGCTATGGCTGGGTTTTGGCCTTCCTGATTTTGTCCCTAAGTGCCAGAGCAATGATTTTATATTCTTTTGTTTCCCATCCTTGTTTCCAGTTCTAATATGCTCTATTTTTGCCTATTAATTAGGAAGCTTGTGCACGAAGCAGTTCTTGTGCACTAAGCAGTTCTGACAAAATTCCCTGTACAATGGGCTGGTTAGCTCTTGAGGTCTAAATAAATTTTCTTTAAAAAAAACCAACAGCCAGCTCCCCTAAGTACCTTTCTTTCTAATGATAGCCTCATTGGGAAATCTGACCAGCAGTTGCTTAAACAACCTGAAGTCCCATCTCCTGAAGTTCAGAATCCTAACTCTACTGTTTAACTTTGTATCCTTCCTCGAGGTCCTGAACTCAGTCATCCTGTGGTCACTCCAAGGCAAGCTGCCATCTGTGGCTGTGTATTCTTTCCCTGTTTATGAACAGTAGATCAATTGGTACATTACTCCTAGTTGGAGTCTCTAGTAATTGCCTTAAGAAATTGTCAACCAATGCAGTCTAGGAACTTTCAGAAATGTCCTTCCATGCAGGAAAATGACTAGAGAAGTAATTTTCAATATCAAACCAGTAATCTTGCAACCAGAGTGTTTTTCAGATTTTGCTAAAAACTTACGCTCTCACCAGGAGATCCCAGAAGAACTTTACTGCAGCAAATTTCCCACTGACAGACAAGCAAGCTGAGCTGCTTTCATGCTCCTTGTCCTGCAGAAGCTTCAGTCAATGGCATGTAGCAGGACTTAAAGGTTAGCAGATCTGTCTTATTTTGAAATAGAGGATTTCAACCCAAAAAGTCATTCTTGATCACCACATATTGAAATTCTCTCTCCCTTTTAACAGAAGGGAATCCTGTCTGACTGTGTCTGGTAATTGTAATTAACAGTGGAGTAGTCACACATGTATAGTTTCTGAGAAGGGTGGTTAAGTATTTTAAAGTTTTCTGTCTTGTTTTTATGCAGACACTTTCCCTAAAAGTAAGTGTTTTTAAACCAAGTTTAAGGTAGCTAATTATATAGTTCATTAAACATACCAAATGACTTGTTACACCTCTGTGCCATCACTGAGGTGGGTTTGATGTTCCACTAGCTGTGCCTATCCTGTGCCCCTCCTTTGCTCACTGGATCAGAGTGATTAACTTCGAGAGGAGATCCTTGGAAGAATTCAAAGGATGAGTTCTGACAAAGAATTTGTCCCACAATTAATTAAACTAACTAATTAAACTTTCTCTTGCAGAATATTTTCTTTAAAAAAATACAGTGTGAAGTTTTATTTAGGTACCTTGTTAATCAGCATTTAAAAAATAACCTAGGAGGAGTCTCCTTATTGAACAATATGTGTGTAGATATGCATAAGATGCGTACTTTTTTTGCTAGCATAAGATGACATGCAGCACAGTCCTGACACTTGTACCTGTATTTTTCAGCTGATTACAAAGATCTGAAAGAATGCGTGAACCAGATA